CACCTGCAATCACTAAGACTACTAGCCCTTAGATTTGCATTAAACCTCACATTAGAAAGAAAAGTTACCAAAATTTCTGTAATATATTTGGAGGTAAACTGCTTAGCGTTAGGACGACAAGAAATAAAACGCATGATTTTTTCAACCCTGCTAGGAAAACAGGAGAATGTATTATGCTAAACCACCTGCAAAAATACACACGCATGTGTGGAGTCGTCACTTGTATCGTTTTGTGTTTTATGTCATGTATATCCATTTCCTGCGCCTCTACGCTTCTCATATCTAACCAGGTTTTCTAAACATACTTTTTTTTCATTCTTAACGACGGCAATACATACAGATACATGCTTACCGACAAGTTCTTTACTTGAAACAGTACGAAATATGTAATATCTTGTCAAAGGGTTCCCCAACACACACGTCACAGGCCTCGAAACACGCTGAAAAATATTAAACTTATTACATTTCTATATTGTGATTTAACATTTACTTCGTATGAAGTTATTTACTTAGTTAATGACTTCGCTTCTGGTCGCCTGTGAACACCCATATTCTTTATGGCCTCTACATAATCGTTGTTGTTAACCGGTTGACCTTCTAAGCGGATACACCTGTAAAGTTTTTGTTCCGTCTTCCAAAGGTGTTTATGAAGTATATTTAGTTTATTGATGTGAAAAAAAAACAACAAAAAACACTCCACTCTTTCTAAGCTAACTTGTAGATACGTCTTTTATAACACTGACTAAACTAAACAAAAATAATACAAGTCAACAAGATTTTGTTGATAAAAAATTGATATATAAATATTAATATATCAACGAGTATCGCTGATTGTCTTACATTGATTGATATTGGAAAAAAAAATTCATGTCCCGAGCTTACATTTTAGTATAACTGGCTCGACCTGTTTCGGATATTCGCGCAAAGCTACACAAGCTACATCCCTTAATTTTGAACTGACAGACCATAAGTGAAATAGCTAGTCAACAGCATCCAACCCACACTCTTGGGCTACTCTAATCGTCTAAAGATATTTGACAGCCACTTTTATAAATGCACCTACAGCCCCAAACTAAGGATTTTCCTGGGACCCACAGTCCACCACGCTGATCAGTAGGCCACGACTAGCCCATAAATGATACTTGCACGAAAGCTACAAAATGCTTAAACCATAAGAAGAAGAGAAATCTAATGGTAATATTTTTGACAATTGTAAATTGATGATTATAAATATATATTAAATTTGAAGTAGTTTTGAGCCAACAGGCTACAACTCTTACTTCACTTTTCTTCCATGTGCTACCGAGAAACGTTTGACACTG